AGACTTATCCAAACCTCGTAAACATAGGCCTACTAAATACATGTAATAAAGTACTTAGATAGTTTTCTATAAGCTGTGACATGGTAGGCCTATTCAGATAACCTGTTCCCCTCAGTATATAAATTACAGATTTTTTCGACACCATATTCACGCCTCTTCATTATTTCCTCTACTAACACGATTCGAATCTCCCTTCCGCACTTGTTCGTTGACGAGCAGCCTCTTAGTGGGATGAGACGCAAACACCTATCACACCCCCTCCCCCCCGAGGACGAGAGAGGCCCCAGGAGCACTCATCACCCCCCCCCCCCCAAAGGACGAAGTGGTTGGGCACCATCCTTTCCCTAATCCTTATGATCATTTCTTTCAAGTGCTACATAGGCGAAATGGATTAGCGTTTTCTCCTGATAATTTACCTTATCATTCCTAACCAAATATCATCTTACGAACCCTAACCTATCCTCAAACTAAACTAACCTAACCTTCCATTAGCTATCCTAAAGTAACCTAACCTATCCTAAACTAACCTAACCTTCATTACCCTAACCATACCTAACCTAACCTATCCTAAACTAAACTATCCTAAACTAAAGTATCTTAAACTAATCTATCCTGAAATAACCCAACCAATGCTTAACTAACGTGTGTCGTCATAGTATTAAGTTACGATTACAAGTTACCTTAAATTATTAAGGTACGACTGCAAGTTACCTTAAATTATTAAGGTACGACTACAAGTTACCTTAAATTATTAAGTTACGACTACAAGTTACCTTAAATTATTAAGTTACGACTACAAGTTACCTTAAATTATTAAGGTACGACTGCAAGTTACCTTAAATTATTAAGTTACGACTACAAGTTACCATAAATTATTAAGTTACGACTGCAAGTTACCTTAAATTATTAAGTTACGACTACAAGTTACCTTAAATTATTAAGGTACGACTAAGTTACCTTAAATTATTAAGTTACGACTACAAGTTACCTTAAATTATTAAGGTACGACTACAAGTTACCTTAAATTATTAAGGTGCGACTGCAAGTTACCTTAAATTATTAAGGTATAACTGCAAGTTACCTTAAATAATTAAGGTACAGCTGCAAGTTACCTTAAATTATTAAGGTACGACTGCAAGTTACCTTAAATTATTAAGGTACGACTGCAAGTTACCTTAAATTATTAAGGTACAATGCCAAGTTACCTTAAATTATTAAGGTACGACTGCAAGTTACCTTAAATGATTAAAGTACGACTGCAAGTTTCCTTAAATTATTAAGGTACGACTGCAAGTTACCTTAAATTATTAAGGTACAATGGCATGTTACCTTAAATTATTAAGGTACGACTGCAAGTTACCTTAAATTATTAAGGTACAACGGCAAGTTACCTTAAATTATTAAGGTACGACTGCAAGTTACCTTAAATTATTAAGGTGCGACTGCAGTTACCTTAAATTATTAAGGTGCAACTGCACGTTACCTTAAATTATTAAGGTACGACTGCAAGTTGCCTTAAATTATTAAGGTACGAATGCAAGTTACCTTAAATTATTAAGGTATAACTGCAAGTTACCTTAAATTATTAAGGTATAACTGCAGTTACCTTAAATTATTAAGGTACGAATGCAAGTTACCTTAAATTATTAAGGTACAATTGCACGTTACCTTAAATTATTAAGGTACAATTGCAAGTTACCTTAAATTATTAAGGTACGACTGCAAGAAACAAGTCACCTTAAATTATTAAGGTACAACTGTAGATTATCTTAAAATAAGGTGCGACTGCAAGAAGCATCAAGCAAAATACAAAAAAAAAAAATACAGTCCTGCTTATACTGAATTCAAAGCTATTTCCTCTAGCACGATACATTTTAATAACAACGTGTCATGGTGAATGCTAAATTCAGAAGGTGCGGGTCGCTGGTGCGGGTCGCTGGCATGCTGTGCAGCCTAGCCCATTTCCGGGGCCATCGTGGTCCGCTCAGATTCACACGGGCCGCTTTGCACCGTTCACCCAACCTGTCCTACTACAAAGAACGTCGCTTTTCGTTCGTGTGCGTTACATAAGGCCAAAAATTGTCGTACTAGAACACGGGAGACATCTCCCGTCACGCAGGGTGCAGTCGCACCTCCACAGATCTCCAGTATCAGCTGTTGATACTGGTAATGGCTCAAAAGGGCCACCACTTACGGGGCTATTCATGTCCGTGCCACCTTTCGGGTGGCTTAATCTTCATCAATCAATTAACCGTACTAGAAAAATGGAAGCGGTTCGCGAAAGTGACGTACTGTCCCGTTTTCTGTTTTGGATCTTCTGGTAGGTTAGGTTAGATCACTTTAAATTTATCGTTTTCTTGACGTTGGGGGGACCTTAGGAGGACGGGCTGAGTTCACCAATGGCTTTTAAACCCTACTTAACCAAATTCAGCCTAACTTGACCCAACCCAGTTTCTTCTAACCTGGCATAACCCCAGTCTAACCTTGCCTTATCTAACCTAACCTTATCCAACCTAGTCAAGCCTAACGATAAATACAGTTCATAAAATAAACAAAATCGTAATCAAGGATTTATAAGACTTAAACGTTCATATTGGACGCGCCGTCACGTAATATTGTATTATAAATAAATAAATAAATAAATTTTTATTCAGGTAAGGTACATACATACAAGGTAAGATACAAAAGTTGATGGATTTAAAGATATAGCTGGTACATACAATGCCTAAAGCCACTATTACGCAAAGCGTTTCGGGCAGGAATTGTCAAAAATTGCCAAAAACGCAAAACTGTCAAAAACGCAAAGCGTTTTGGGTATTGAAAAAATCATGCATGCAAAATTATATGCACCAGGCCTATATTTACAAAATATAACAATATAAACAACCAAAAAGTATACACGCTCCCCTGGAATTATCTTCAGCCTAACACGCTCCCCTGGAATTATCTTCAGCCTAACACGCTCCCCTGGAATTATCTTCAGCCTAACACGCTCCCCTGGAATTATCTTCAGCCTAACACGCTCCCCTGGAATTATCTTCAGCCTAACACGCTCCCCTGGAATTATCTTCAGCCTAACACGCTCCCCTGGAATTATCTTCAGCCTAACACGCTCCCCTGGAATTATCTTCAGCCTAACACGCTCCCCTGGAATTATCTTCAGCCTAACACGCTCCCCTGGAATTATCTTCAGCCTAACACGCTCCCCTGGAATTATCTTCAGCCTAACACGCTCCCCTGGAATTATCTTCAGCCTAACACGCTCCCCTGGAATTATCTTCAGCCTAACACGCTCCCCTGGAATTATCTTCAGCCTAACACGCTCCCCTGGAATTATCTTCAGCCTAACACGCTCCCCTGGAATTATCTTCAGCCTAACACGCTCCCCTGGAATTATCTTCAGCCTAACACGCTCCCCTGGAATTATCTTCAGCCTAACACGCTCCCCTGGAATTATCTTCAGCCTAACACGCTCCCCTGGAATTATCTTCAGCCTAACACGCTCCCCTGGAATTATATTCAGCCTAACACGCTCCCCTGGAATTATCTTCAGCCTAACACGCTCCCCTGGAATTATCTTCAGCCTATCTTGCACAGAATTTGATTTATTCATAATTAAAAGCGCAATAATAATTTCCACGTCAATAACATATTTATTTATTGCTGCTTAAATATATATGACGTTATTGAAGCTTGACTTTACAACATTGCCAAAAGGCGTTGTGTGTCTTAGTACACTGGATCATCAAAACAGAGATATCCCGGGTTCGATTCCTGCAGCAGGAGAGCGAAACGGTTTGGCACGTTTCCTTATACCTGATGCCACTGTTCATCTAACAATAAATAAGTACCTTTAGAGTTAGGCAACTGTTGTGGGAAGCACTGCAACTTTCCCTAAGTGAACATTCCGTCATAAGGAGAGTACTGGCCTAAAGTTTCGCTTCCTAAAGTGAACACTTTATTTCGGTTCAAATTGTTCAATCACTATTGAAACTCTCAGAGACACTGATGTTCCTATATTCAATCGTGAATTACTTCCTGAAATATTTTAATTTGTTTCGAAATGCAACAAATCTTGCAATACTTTTAGAACGACTGACAACAACTATACTTGTTGGGCTTAAGACTTTTTTCAATCTCTGGAGGGTTATTAATTAAGGTCTATCAACCATTGGAAGGTTATTAAGGTCTATCAACCTCTGGGGGGGATATTAAGGCCTATCATCCTATGGAGGGTTATTAAGGTCTATCAACAATTGGAGGGTTAAGGGCTGTCAACCTCTGGAGGGTATATTAAGGCATCACAATAGCTTGCTGACCAACAGCAAGTATGCTTCAGCTCTGAATGCATACTAGGATTCTCGGTGTATATACACCGAGAATATATATATATATATATATATATATATATATATATATATATATATATATATATATATATATATATATATATATATATATATATAAACGATTGTATGTATACACGGTTATATATATAAACAATTGTAAACAGTTATATATATAAACAATTGTATATATATACACGGTCATATATATATACACGGTGTATATACACAGTTGTATATACAGTTGTATGTATATATATATACCTCAAAGTGAATATAAATATTCCTTACCTATACGCAAAGTCTGTACCTTATAATACTCTTTAACTTAATATAATTTACCCGAAACTCGGCATGTTATATATATCAATATGAATGCCTATATATGTAAACATTATACTACAAACTCTATGGAATGCATTTTATGTTATTATTATTATTGCTATAACTCAGCAAAACCTTCTTTAAAATAAACAAAATATTTCAACTTGTATTAATTCAATAAAATTCAAATAAATTAAACAACTTAACCTTAAAAAAGTTAGTTTACCCATGGTTAAAAGTTACGAGAAGCAAGCTAACTTGAAAGTTATTTAACAGACTGAAAGACAAAATAATTTAACAGGAATTTTAAAATAATGTTGTTAAGCTGACCTTGTTGTGCAAGACACACTGCCAGCAGGAACACCAGATGCTTGGCATCCATGGCTGCTGCTTCTTCAACTTCTCGCTAACTTCCACTGGAGAACTTACGAACTTCAGAGTCGTTCCATTTTCTACCATAATGAAATCACACTTCAAGTACCTACAACTTATTAATTGTTAACACTTCTTTCCTCGAATGAGGTTTGATTTGATATTGTAATTATTGAAGGTACGCACTGATATACGAATGAAGGTTTCCTTGCTTTAGGAGTGAATGGAATCACACGATACTTTGAGCGCACGCGGAGCAGCGTAACTTCCTTGGCGATGGTCTGGGCGCACACTGAGTGTAGTGGTGGGTGGTGGGCCCCTATGGTGGTGGTGGTGGGCCAAGTGGGCGGAGCTTGGCCCCTGGTGGGCGGGGCTACTGCTCACACACACACTGCAACGGAAACTTTGCTTGAGTAGTACTTACATATCTGTACTTACCTACCATTGTCAATCAGTAAGTAAGGTACCTCTCTCTCTCTCTCTCTCTCTCTCTCTCTCTCTCTCTCTCTCTCTCTCTCTCTCTCTCTCTCTCTCTCTCTCTCTCTCTCTCTCTCTCTCTCTCTACCTCTCTCTCTACCTCTCTCTCTACCTCTCTCTCTACCTCTCTCTCTCTCTCTCTCCTCTCTACCTCTCTCTCTACCTCTCTCTCTACCTCTCTCTCTCTACCTCTCTCTCTACCTCTCTCTCTACTCTCTCTCTCTCTCTCTCTCTCTCTCTCTCTCTCTCTCTCTCTCTCTCTCTCTCTCTCTCTCTCTCTCTCTCTCTCTCTCTCTCTCTCTCTCTCTCTCTCCTCTCTCTCTCTCTCTCTACCTCTCTCTCTACCTCTCTCTCTCTACCTCTCTCTCTACTCTCTCTCTCTCTCTCTCTCTCTCTCTCTCTCTCTCTCTCTCTCTCTCTCTCTCTCTCTCTCTCTCTCTCTCTCTCTACCTCTCTCTCTACCTCTCTCTCTCTACCTCTCTCTCTACCTCTCTCTCTACCTCTCTCTCTACCTCTCTCTCTCTCTCTCTCTCTCTCTCTCTCTCTCTCTCTCTCTCTCTCTCTCTCTCTCTCTCTCTCTCTCTCTCTCTCTCTCTCTCTCTCTCTCTCTCTCTCTCTCTCTCTGTTACCCTGACTAGAATTGTTGAACCTTTTGGCTGATAATTTAACTCTTCTGACGTTCGAATCTTTTCCCTCGAAGTTTTTCCTTTGTAAGTATACCATCTTTGTTGACAAAAATTAATATACGGTATTGCCTGATCGAAGTAGTTCATTCAGGTGTTTTGAAAGTGCTGCTCATATTCACTGCCACACAGGACAGTGAGGATGCTGCTCATATTCACTGCCACACAGGACAGTGAGGATGCTGCTCATATTCACTGCCACACAGGACAGTGAGGATGCTGCTCATATTCACTGCCACACAGGACAGTGAGGATGCTGCTCATATTCACTGCCACACAGGACAGTGAGGATGCTGCTCATATTCACTGCCACACAGGACAGTGAGGATGCTGCTCATATTCACTGCCACACAGGACAGTGAGGATGCTGCTCATATTCACTGCCACACAGGACAGTGAAGATGTAGCTGTAACGCCTTCTCCAAGAGGTCAGCCCAGATGACCTCTGGATTATCTTGTATGTTGATTAAAAAATTCCTGGGTTAGTCTTAGTCAGCATAGTATCAAGTATGTAATATTTCATGATACTCTTGTCAAACATTGTAATGGAATTAGACCCCAGATTCTTAGGTGTAAACATCCATGGATCTCCCCCTTTTGGCCAGGTCAGAGGTCAGTCACACACGTAATTAATAACTCCTCTCTTGAAGAGTGTATGGTGAATGTCAAACAAGCTTAATTGAAATATTTTTAAGTGTTTGTGCATGTGTGGCCCGACCCCCCCTGGCATTTTTGATCTAGGTAGCAACAGTAAATCTTCCCCTCCCCCTTTTTCGAGGGTATATATTTGGTCCTGTAGAGACTTAGGGACAGAGTACGGGATACCGGGGTCGAGAGCGGGTCTGTGAATAACATCTCACAGCCAGGGAGAGACAGAGGTCTTAAGGTAATGTGTGTGATCTCTGAGGTTTTGTTCCATGTCTAAATTTCTTAACTATTGGCCAGTGTTAGAGTAGGATTTATAGTGGTGTTTAGATTAATTTGGTATCTCAATAAACTCATGTTAAATTTCCCGTCTGTGTCAATTGTTGAATCCTCTGAGCCTTTTGGATATAGTGGCTGACAACCGTCCCATAATCAATGACAGTTATAGAAGGTTCTCTCCAAGTCAAGCAATGTTTCTTGCCTCGTTGCTTGATGTAGTCTCAATGGTCAAGGCAGATGGTGGCAGCGTATTAACCCTGTGTAGCATTTCCTTGTTTCGCAGTGTACCTTTGGTTCGGTGTAACCATCATATGTCAGCTCATATTACAGTGTTCAATAACAGTGTTACCAAGTGCAACCGATAGGAAGTGTTACTCATGATAAGTATTAATTTAGTTTTTATTTTAGATTAGTTTAGTATACATTATAGTGGTGTTCCATTATAGTGGTGTTACAGTGCTCATATTCACTGCCACACAGGACAGTGACGATACTGATCATATTCACTGACAAACAGAACAGACGCCATGACTATGCATATGTCTGTATCTTTCTAAGGTTCACAGGCTGGTCAAACATGCACATTACATTATATACACACTTACATCCATCCATACATACATGCATCCATACATACATACATACATTCATACATACATCTTGCACATGTATCGGTAAGCCAAGAAAGACTGCAGGCCAGGCAACAAAGGGCTGTATGGACTCTACGAATACAGCTCAGAGTCCAGGTCTCGTCCGGCCAAGAATTTCGACACTCCCGCGTTTCGGAATTTCTTTTGTCCGGGATATAATACACAGAGTTTTCGTGTCACTAAGTGTTTGCAAAAGGTTAAATGCTTTGTGGTTTGGGTGGGTAGGAGGGGGGGGGGGTAGGGAGTGAGGGGGGGATCCAGTGGTGTGAGGGTAAAGGTGGTCCTCATATCCCAGCTCCTTGTCCTCACACCCCAGTTCCTTGTCCTCATATGCCAGAGCCTTGTCCTCATATTCCCAGCTCCTTGTACTCATATCCCAGTTCCTTGTCGTCTTATCCCAGATAATTTTTCTCACACCCCAGTTCCTCGTCCTCATATGCCAGAGCCTTGTCCTCATATCCCAGTTCCTTGTCCTCATATCCCAGCTCCTTTTTTCTCATATCCCAGTGCCTTGTCCTCATATCCCAGCTCTTTGTCCCCATATCCAAGTTCCTTGTCCTCATATCCCAGCTCCTTGTCCTCATATCTCAGCTCCTTGTACTCATATCCCAGTTCTTTGTCCTCATATCTCAGCTCATTTTTCTCATACCCCAGCTCCGTGTTCTCATATCTCATCTCTTTGTCCTGATATCTCAGCTCCTTGTCCTCATATCCAAGCTCCTTGTTCTCATATCCCAGCTCCTTGTCTTCATATCCCAGCTCCTTGTCTTCATATCCCAGTGCCTTGTCCTCACATCCCAGTTCCTTGTCCTCATATCCTAGCTCCGTGTCCTCACATCCCAGTTCCTTGTCCTCATATCCTAGCTCCGTGTCCTCATATCCCAGTTCCTTGTCCTCATATCCCAGTTCTTTGTCCTAAATATCCCAGTTCCTTGTCCTCATATCTCAGCTCCTTGTCCTCATATCCCATTTCCTTGTCCTCATATCTCAGCTCCTTGTCCTCATATCCCATTTCCTTGTCCTCATATCTCAGCTCCTTGTATTCATTTGTATTCATATCTCAGCTCCTTGTCCTCATATCCCAGCTCCTTGTCCTCATATCTCATTTCCTTGTCCTCATATCTCAGCTCTTTGTCCTCATATCCCATTTCCTTGTCCTCATATCTCAGCTCCTTGTACTCATATCTCAGCTCCTTGTCCTCATATCCCATTTCCTTGTCCTCATATCCCATTTCCTTGTCCTCATATCTCAGCTCCTTGTACTCATATCTCAGCTCCTTGTCCTCATATCCCATTTCCTTGTCCTCATATCTCAGCTCCTTGTACTCATATCTCAGCTCCTTGTCCTCATATCCCATTTCCTTGTCCTCATATCTCAGCTCCTTGTCCTCATATCCCAGCTCCCTTCCAAGCATCATACCCCATCAAAGTGCCATATAGTCATATTAACGTAGTGCCGGCTGGCACCCCGGCCAGCACACATGCTCAAGTGATCGTTGCACCAAGGTTTACTGAAGTCTTGCTGCTGTGATTTAGACTTTAACATAAACATTAAGGAAACTGCATTGGCCCATACGAGGCAGCTCCTACTGACCCATACGAGGCAGCTCCTACTGACCCATACGAGGCAGCTCCTACTGACCCATAAGAGGCAGCTCCTACTGACCCATAAGAGGCAGCTCCTACTGACCCATACGAGGCAACTCCTACTGACCCATACGAGGCAACTCCTACTGACCCATACGAGGCAGCTCCTACTGACCCATACGAGGCAGCTCCTACTGACCCATAAGAGGCAACTTCTACTGACCCATACGAGGCAGCTCCTACTGACCCATACGAGGCAGCTCCTACTGACCCATACGAGGCAGCTCTACTGACCCATAAGAGGCAGCTCCTACTGACCCATACGAGGCAGCTCCTACTGACCCATAAGAGGCAGCTCCTACTGACCCATACGAGGCAGCTCCTACTGACCCATAAGAGGCAGCTCCTACTGACCCATAAGAGGCAGCTCCTACTGACCCATAAGAGGCAGCTCCTACTGACCCATAAGAGGCAGCTCCTACTGACCCATACGAGGCAGCTCCTACTGACCCATACGAGGCAGCTCCTACTGACCCATACGAGGCAGCTCCTATTGGCCCATACGAGGCAGTCCCTATATGTAAATGAGTTCGGTTGGATATAAATATGTCTGGCCGACGCTTGAAACAGTTAAGCTGTTAATAGGTTATGCTATTCAAAGCAGGATAGTATTAATTTCATGATCTTAATGTATATTGGCCCGACACGCACACAAGCGTGTACACATAATTCATGTACACATGCAACACCACGGCGAAAAACACAGTAATTTATCTGTAAGAGCTGTCATGTCTGTGTACACTGGCATTGTCCGGTGCATTACGGCCGGTTCACACGCAAACATGCACGCACACACACACGCAAACATGCACGCACACACACACACGCAAACATGCACGCACACACACACACGCAAACATGCACGCACACACACACGCAAACATGCACGCACACACACACACGCAAA